CTACCTATATACATGAGATGGCGGTGCCATGCATGAGTAGTCACATTGCAGAATCACAAACAGTTGGGCACAACCTACTCTCATCACAATTTTTCCCCATCTATAAGTGGCCTCATCAGCATCTGCCGAAGCCGCTTATCTGCTCACATTGTCCCTCTCCGCAACAAGAACAATGACATGCGGCCGAGCCGAGCGGCCATTCTTGTGCGCAGGGGGGAATACAGGGGTCAGTCAGGTCCAAATACAGCCTCGCTAATGAGTGATGGCAATTAAATCATTAACAGAAAAAGCGTGCACAACCAAAATAGAATAAATACATGATACAGACAAATGAATTAAAAACCAATGGAGCCGATATAAGCAGAAATATGTAGTAAAGTGACATCGTCAGATAAGTCAAATTGGCCAAAAAGATGCCCAGCAATAGAACAATACTTATTGTGCATTCTGCCGATGCTGCCTAAAGCCGCTTCATTGATCCACCTTCCTCTAAAATGTGTTCCCAAACTGACACATCCTGGAGTGTCAACCTCCGGGTCCCCCGCAGTGCTCACTGGTTCCTCTAGCCGATCTCTATGTCCCCACCGGACACAGTGGCATTTGGCAGAGCGGACAATGGGAACAAATATTTCTGCAAAGACAGCATTCTGGCCAATTTCATTTTCCTGACAGAGTCACTCTAAACACACCAACTGGAAATATTAGAAGGGAAATGAAATATATTATCAAATAAGAAGCCGATTACAAAATAAAAGGACAAGAGGGAGCGACGGCCGCGCTGAATACTGGAATGTAAGTGCTAAAATCCTACAAATTACACGGATATTATACCTCTGTAGAGGACGTCCACACTTACGTGACGTAACTAGGCAGTTGCTGAGGAGACACCCATGCATGGGCATTCCCAGCTGGGACCCGCCGTACCCCCACTCCACCGCTCCCCTTTTAACAGTTTGACTCATGCCAACAGGAGCCTCTCGCTTCACTGCCCTCAGTACCATTCTCTACAACCTGGAAGTTCAGGGAGCAGATCTTTCTGGTCCCAGTGACCATGACAAAGGACCATAGGCAGGGCTTGAAAAATCCAGAGGACGGCGGAACCCGACGAGCAGCTTCCCGGCCGGCCGTAATTACACTGGCTGGGAGCTTTACATTCAAGTGATCGGGCGCCTCTAGAGACGCTCGATCGCTTGTATTAGCAGCTGTCACTGCCGGTCCCGTGATCCGCTGTGCCCGATGCAGCCGGGACCGGCACGGCTCTGTGACAGGAGATCAAAGGGAGTTCAGTATGCAGGAAGTGATGTAGATTACATCACTTCCTGCATTCAGTGTCACTCTCCAGCTACAGGAGCCGATGAAGCCGATCTCTGCTTCATCAGCTTCTCTGGGGGTCCCTAGGTGACATTAAGGGTCTTGGAGACCCTTGATGTCTCTATAAAGAGGACCTGTCATGTAAATTGGCTATCCCATAGGGGGCTTCTCAGCCTCCCATGTAATAGCAAAAAAGTTGTGTGTAAAAAAAAAAAAGAAGTAATACCCCCACATACACACGCAGACATGCGTCAGGTGCGCCTATGTGCAAAAACGGTGATTGCGCCTATTGTGCCGGACATGTTACATATCGCCGCAAACGTCGGAGAGCAATAATTTTAGAGCCATTAATTACTGATAACACTAAGGGCATGTTCACACCAAGCGCGTTCCAGGAGCAGAGCAGTTACAGACCGGATCAAAACTGCGTCCAATGTATTCCAATGGTATTTTGGGCTTTAGTTCACACCGCAGCGTTCAGTTCCAGAGCATGTAAAAAAAAAAACATGCCCTATTTTACCTGCTCTGGAACGCTTGCAAACGCATCAAAAACACATGCAAACACCCTGGAATGCACTGAAAGCCCAATATAAAACGAAAAAAAAAAGGCCCGGAACACATCAAAAACGCCGCAAAACCCACTGCACTGCGTGTGCAGAAACTCATGCAGATCTGCTCTGCATTCGGTGTGAACAAGCCCTAAACTGATGAGCGGTAAAAGCGTCTATGGGCATTGTAGTATTTTTTTGCGATTTCGCGGGCGCACGCAATTTTAAGGCTTGACATGTTTGGTGTCTATTTACCCGACGTGACCCCGACTTTTATGTTTTACGAAAAATATGGGTAAGAATAAATGTTTTATAACATAACGTAGGGAAACTGTGGTTTTTTTTTACATTTACGGTACTTTTTTCATTATATAGTTAAAAAAAATACAATCCCCCCCCCCTAGTGGTGATTATAAACCTCCAAAGGAAAGCTCTATCTGTTCCCAAAAAATTGAACATAAATGGCAAGGCTATAGTCGGGTCATGCTGACTGGTGACATTTTTGACTGACTGGTGAGACACTCTAAAATGTTTCAAGCCCTGACCATAGGTAACTGTTTGGGGATGGGGGTGATGCAAAGATACATTTCTTTACCTTAAAGTGACATTAAACCCTCAGATTTTTTAACATAAAACAATACTGCAATGTGTGCCTTACTGTAATCCATGGTTGTTTCCCTTCTCTTTGCTGCTCTTCCTTTTCAATCTGTATCTGTTCTCATGCTCTGCAGAACTTCCCTTTGCAGCAGACTGCCTTGTCTCAGGAATGGATACATGGTGTCTGTGTATCCGTTTGTATAGGCTTGTAACCTGAGCCAGCACTACAGGAAGAGGCACTCAGCTGCAAAGGGAAGTTCTCCCCAAGCATGAGAAGACATGAGGATTTAAAAGGAAGAGCAGCAAAGAGAAGGGAAACTACCATGGATTACAGTAAGGCACACATTACAGTATTGGTTTATGTTAAAAAATCTGAGGGTTTAATGTCACTTTAATGTAGAGAATTCTTTAGGGTAAAAAACACCTCGCATTTACTACCACCAACTCAAATACCAGGAGGCAGACCAATCACAATGACCGCATAAATATACAACAAAGACATGTAGAATAAAGGGGGGTGAGTACGGAATGCGTCACAACATATCCAGTACTGTAAATGACGGACTTAGGAACTAGAGACACACAAGTTGGGAGAAATTGTGTATAACGATTGCACATGTGCAGAGAGAATGCAAAATGACCGGGTAACAATAGAGATATACTGATAGGGAATACATTGGTGATGTCATAAAATCTGAGTGATAGGAATATGCAAACAGGACCAGTAAGGCTGGGTTCACACCTAGGCGTTTTTCCGCGCTTTCGTACTCGCGGAAAAAACGCTCAAACAGGGAAATGCCATTATTTTCAATGTGCATGGTTCCCATCTGGGCGGTTTTCCGCGAGTACGAACGTGCGGGGAAACCGCCCTACGCCCAAAGAAGTACATGTACTTCTTTGGGGCGTTTTGGTCGGGCGGTTCCATTGGGACACAGCCAAGTATCCCTCGGAAACGCGCGCTTCTTTTACCGCGAATCGCGGTTATAAAAAACGCGCGAAAAACGTGCATATTCAATCCGCCTAGGTGTGAACCCAGCCTAACTACGACGCGTATGGAAGTCTACAATATGGTAATGGAAATGTTAGTGATAAATAACGTATGTTACAATGTGGTAATGAAAAAAAAAAACAATGACAGCACATGAAGGTTACATGAGATAAACATGTCATATAATACACACACACACACACACACACATTATATATATAAATGTCAAAAAAGACAAAAACGCAGTATTGCAGTGTGCAATGATACCTTTTTTTATTGGACTAACAAAATATATAAAAGACAAGCTTTCGAGAGTGAACCTCTCTTCTTCAGGTCAGAAGCAATCAATTATATATTTTGTTAGTCCAATAAAAAAAGGTATCATTGCACACTGCAATACTGCGTTTTTGTCTTTTTTGACATCTTGTCTACTATTACTGGACTAATACGGCTTACTCATTTATATTGCAATATATATATAGCAAAAAAATATAGTGCAAAAAAAAATATGGTGATCAGGGCAATCAGGGGTGCCGTAACATTCCAAGAGCAATTAGCTAACCAATCGCTGGCCAGAATGAGCGAAGCTCGCTTTCACTATGATTCCTCACAGGCGGAGTGCATTTGGTATCACTCCGTCTGTGACCGGAGCCAGCGCTATAGAGGAAGCATCAGCTTATGTGGCTCTGCTCCCTCCGCTGCCGCCTCGCTTCCTCTAGCGCTGGTACTGCTGATTCTCTCCCGTTGCTCTCCAAGTTCCCCCTTATGCCACCACCGGCCCTGGGAATGGTCACAACTAGGTCTTATTTTCGGGGTAGGTTTTATATTTTAGCAATTCCCAAAAATAGTGCTAGGTCTTATTTTCGGGGTAGGTCTTAAGACAGGTGCATGCATGTACAGAGATATTGGGATAAGGAGACCAGTGAGGACTTGTTCACACATACTGCGGTGACCTGCGTTGTACAATTGTTTTTCTGTGCGTCCCATTTATACCACATAGTGTGATGACCAGAGCAATGCAATAGAATGCAAACATGCTGAAATTTATCGCAAGGCACCGAGAGGGGAATTTATCAAAATCTGGAGCAGTCGTGCTTAGAAACCAATCAGCTTTCTCAGTTTCATTTTCAAATCTTAACTCAACAAAGTGAAGAGAGAAGCTGATTGGTCGCCATGGGTGACTGCTCCAGTTTTGATAAATCCCTCCCTGTATGCGAGAGAGAGGTACGGGGGGAGAGAGAGAGAGAGGTACGGGGGGAGAGAGAGAGTCTGGCCACAGACAGGTGACACACACACACACACAACCCTGTACACAGACAGGTGACACACACACACACACAACCCTGTACACAGACAGGACACACACAACCCTGTACACAGACAGGGGACACACAACCCTGTACACAGACAGGGGACACACACGCACAGCCTTGTACACAGACAGGGGACACACACAGAAGCCGGTGTCTGGGTTGGGGGGCCACTACCGGTCATAGTGCTACCCCTCCCCCACACCTGGGGCCTCCAGTGTACCCCGGGCCCCGTCTCTTTCTTACCTCTTATGCGGAGGTGGCGGAGGGAGCGGGCGCGGATGCTGGCCGCCATGTTGCTCGGAGGGGAGACATTCACAACACCGGAAACCTCGTGTAATCCCGCGAGAAGACGGGGAAGGGCGGGGAGTGTGCGGGCTGCCCGGGAGGGAAGTGGTCTGGGCTCGGCTGACCGAAATGAATATTTACAGGAAGCTCTTCTCCTTCGTATGGTTGCAGAGGGAATGTGTCATGTGTGAAGCCCCGGAGGCCATGTTTGTGATGGGAAGGCCGCTGGGGTGGCTAGATGGACTCAGATTTAGTCTGATCTCGGACGACTTTCACCTTCACTGTCAGCACACGATATTCACCGACTGTGAATCATTAACGCCCAAATTTATTGTGGGCTTATTAACATTGTGTGCAGATTTATGGAAGCTGAGGGCAGGTCGCGGTTCTTAGAGAACCGAATCGGGCCTTATAGATCATGGGCCAGGCAGTCTAGCCCGGAGGGTGGTCGTGGTTTGCAAAGCAGCAGTGCACAGGGCAGCAGGCGGGCGCGCGTTCACGGCTCGGTGAATAGGTGTACGTTGTGATGCCGCGGCCGCCATATTTGTTGCGGGAAAGCCATTCGGTTACGCCACTATTTTATATGCAAGGTTATGTATTCGTTTCCTAAATCTCGGAGGAGTTCACCTACTCGGCCAGTCTGTTAAATTTATTAATGCAGTTGGATAGCAGCGCATCTAAATCACGGCAGACCTTTGACATTGCCCACAACAAAGATGGCGATATAGATTATTAGAAATTGGGGCTAGCTAGGTGGATGAGACCCCCCCTCCCCATAGTGGCAGAAATGTGGAACTGCTGTGCAGCCAAAATATTTGTGTCGGTTGTGGATGGAGTTTGGAAGAGATTCGACCTTTGTCAGGGTGTTATTGGGAAGATTTCTCTTCAATTTCTGGCCTGGAAAGCAAAGCGATGGGGAATTCCCCTATTAGACACTTCTACCTGGAATGCACTATGGACAGCCATACACTTTGGTCACTAAAGGGTGTGGCCACTGAGGGGTGTGGTCACTGAGGGGCGCTGTAAAGCTTTCTCGCACAGGGCGCCTAAAGGCCTAAGGCCGGCCCTGTATCCCCCATCCATGCTAAACAGTGTCAATGGGGGTCTCCTCCCTTCCCAACAGGCTATTGTATTGTGACAGCAGCCGGGGGTGGGCCGCTGTCAGAATACACAAATAATGGCCATCAACTTTCAGCCTATCTCCTTTGAGAAAAGTCAAACGAAGGGGTGCTGGCGCAGCCACATACTGGTTTAGGCCAAGTCCTGCTGACCAGTGTTTGGCCAGCTTTCCCCTCACAACTGTTATATTGTGGATTTCCCCTCTCTGTCTGCCTCTGTGACAACGTCCATCACCACAGAGTGACTCTCCACAGAGATAAGTACCTGGGAAAGGTTCTTATTCTTCCCCACTCTATTCACACTTTGGCAGTAGTTACACTATAAAGCAGAGGTGGGCAAACACTGGCCCTCCAGGTGTTTTGGAACTACAAGTCCCATAAAGCATTTCAAGATTCTCTCAGCCACAAGCATGACTTCCAGAGACAGATGCGTCATGGGATTTGTAGTTTCTGGAGGGCAGGAGTCTTCCCACCCCTGCTATAAAGTGTATCTAAGGGCCCATTTACACCAGATCTGTTGGGGTTGCGCTTGACATTTTTTCCAGTGCCGCCACAGGACAGGGCGATTTGCTTTGTCACTGATGGGCACCATTTACACCATCACATTGCGGTGAAACGCGGTGGTGTGCTGTGAAAAAAAAAAATATGTCATGCCGTACTTTTTTTCAGCACAGCAGGATGCGATGCAGAGCAACCACTTCACAACCCATTGTGCCCGTAGAACTGAATGAAACACGTGACTAGGGATATACCGATACTGGGATTCCCTCTGACTGGCAGTGCCACGAAGGGTGGATGGAGCCGGCTTACCGGCCATTCAGGAGCCGGGCGGCGGGTCATGACTCATCTCCTGGCTTCCTGATTGGCTAGGAAGCCTGCTTCACATGTTGCTAGGCAGCCTGGCTCCCTGACCAATCAGAAAGCCGTTTGGCACATCATGACACAACGCCTGGGTTCCAAATTGGTCAGGAAGCCAGGCTGCCTAGCATCAAGTGAAGCCAGCTTATTAGCCCATCAGGAAGCCGGGAGGCAGTCATGACATGCCGCCCGGATTCCTGATTGGTCAGGCTGCCTCGGAATGTGAAGCCGGTGTTCTTTAGCTAGTACACTGGCTTCCTAGCAGGTCATGGCTCAGCTTCCTGATAAGCCGGTTTTGGTACTGTGAGTACCGGAAAAAAATATCGGTACTTGTACTCGATGCCGAAAAACCGGTATCAGTGCATCCCTAGTTGTGACATTTCAATAAAGTTCTAAAAAAAACAAAACAGTGCGATGTGCCGGGATCAGCACTGTGTCAGGCACTGCACACCTGCCGCTGTGCGTTTTGCTTAGCAGCTGCTGTGAATTGTCCCTACACTCTCATGGAAATAGAAATTAGGGATAGTCCACCTTCACCCATGCAGTGTCCCCAGTACAGGTAAAAGAAGCTTCTATTCTGTGTCATACCTGTAGGCCGTGTATGGCCTTTCCAAGGCTGGTCAGAAAAACTCCTAGTGTGAGGGACCCTCCGACTGTGACAGACTGAGAGAGAGCAGACTGCGCGGGTTATGAACAAGGCCAGGAGCTCTATCATGTGACGCAGGCGGCACCAACAATCAGCCCATCCAACCATTAAAACCGAACATGGTGGATCCCTCACACTAGAGTTGTTCAGGCCGGCTAAGGACAAGCTGCAGACGGCATGAAAAAGAAGCTTCATTTTCCAGAAATGAGCTGTGCTTTTCTTAAAGGATAACTCCATATTTCACACTACAATTATCAGGGTGTAACATGAAACATGGCCACGTCCCCCCTACTTACCTGAATTGCCAGGTCTGCCCCTCCAGCGGCATCATCCTTTCACAGATCCATCCACGGTAGAGGGACTCGAACTTCTCAGTGGAGTACAAGTGATATCACCACACTTGTACTCCATTGAGAACTATGTGGGAATTTATCAGAACCCAGAGCAGTTGCCCATAGAAACCGGCTTATCAGTGTATTTTACCCTAAAAATGCTGGTTTGATAAACATTTGCGCAAATATCGTGGCCATACAGAGTTATAAGGCCCGAGGCAGAAGAGGCCGTGTATATATGTGTATTCAGCTTTAATAAACTGCAAGTCCCCCTGTGTACACTGTTCATGCAACGCATTAAAAACGTGCGCCGCGCTTGTGGTGCCATTACTTGTTAATGGCACCCCAAATGCGGCTGAAAATGCTGCATGAGCTTCTTTGCAGGGTTTGTCGTCGAATGACCTAACTAATTATTCGGGGGCTCGCCTTGATTCTTATTTAGTGAAATTTGTAGGTAGCCAATAAACGTATTTGGATAAAAATAACAAAAACCTGTTTCCATACAACCCTCCAGTAGTTCTGTAGTTTGGTATATTCAACATACTGTAAGTCTCTCTATTTGTCTGTTATTTCCCCATTCACACCGTCGCATTCTCTGAACACACGTTGCAATTGTACATATCCACATTTGTTCTTTTCCCGCTGTTGCCGCACGTCGTCCATTGATTTTAATGGGTGCCGTATGCGTGACAAAGACGAGAAAGTAGCTCATGCAGCAGATTCTGCTACAGGCGCACCGCTTTTCTTCACACATCTGTGTGCGTTTAATGCGCGCCAATGCCGACGTTCTGTCGAAAGGTGCAACTCGTCAAGATCTCCAACTGGTGACGTCACGTCCAGTGACTTGCCAGTAGGAAATTGAGACCACATGGCACTATTGCACGCGCGCCAGCTGTGCCAGTGTAAGAATCCTTATGAAATTCTCAAACTTCCCTCACTGCGCCTCCGCGGCTTCACAATCCCCGCCGAGTTCTCCAACCCCGTCAGTGCCCATGCTTAGCCACCCAACAGTGGAATAAATGAATAACATGTAATCTATTAGCAGAAGATACTGATTGGCTGCCCTTGCCTTGGAATGATTGGCTGATAGCTCATATTCCTAGCGTTGGGTGGCCGCGCAGGCGTACCTGGTTAATAATTTATCCCTGGTTGGCCCATGGGGATCCTGTAAAACCGGCCCTGCAGTGGTGAAACTACTAATCCCATGATGCATCTGCCTCTAGAAGTCATGCCTGTGGCTTGGAGAATCTTGCAGTGCAGGATTTGTAGTCCAACAACAGCTACAAGGCCAGAGTTTGCACACCCCTACTGTTAACAATTGTGGTAGCCGGAGCAAATATAGAATCTTCCGGGTCCAGTGTACTCCTAGAATGAGATCCTAATAGGTTGGACTTGATGGACTAATGTCTTTATTCAACCTCAAATACTATGTAACTATGTAACTATGTAACTTATGGCGCTGTGCTGAGTGATTTCCCCTCTGATGTAAAAAAAAAAAATCAGGTAGACGATCGCTCGGGACAGCGGCCATTCAGCAAATGCCTAGTATTTTTACCAATGAATACAAGGCATCCTCTGATTGGATGAGAGGCACAGCAGCATGCAGGACCCAGAAGATCGCTGTAAAGCACCGTAGTTGCTTCGGCTAATTCAGTGCTTTAACCACTTACTCACCGGGGTGTTACACCCCCTTCCAGGCCCGGCCATTTTTTAGTATTCAGCGCTGCGGTACTTTGATTGACCTTTATTCCGTCATGCAGCGCTGCACTGAAATAAATTTTATACCATTTTTGGGGACAGATAGGGCTTTCTTTTGGTGGTATTTAATTACCACTACGGGTTTTATTATTTACTATATAGCAAAAAAGTACCCTAAATTTTGTTAAAAAAAACTGTTTCCCTATTAAATCCTATGAAACATTTGTTATCACCCCAATTTTTGGGTAAAAGATAAAAGACGGGGTCACATCGGGTAAATAGGCACCAAACATGTCAAGCTTTAAAATTGCGCGCGCCCACGAAATCGCAGAAAACGACCGCAACCAAAATTGACCATAGGCGACGCTTTAAAAGCTTTTACCGCTCATCAGTTTAGTGCTATCAGTGATTGAGGGGCCTACAATTATTGCTCCCATTCCGACGTTCGCGGTGATATGCAACATGTGCGGCGCAATCGCCGTTTTCGCACATAGGCGCACACGATGCATGT